CAGTGCATCAGGGCAGGGGCGGGGGCTGCGCTCATCCCGCCCCGTCTGTCAGCCGCCACGCGGCGACCCCCTCCCCGCCCTCATGAGGGGCGGTCTGCCCGTCCCACTCGGTGCCGCTCGCCGCCAGCCTGGGCAACCCAGCGTCCCTGCTCCAGGCCTCCGTTTCTCCGCGGACCCCAGCTGTCTGCACCCACAGCTCCCACCTCTTTCCGCGCTCACCCCTTATTTAGCCAGCGTTTCCTGCAGACCGCGAGCGCCCTCTGGTGCCTGGCTAGGGTTGCTCGCCTGAGAGGAGAACACGACTAGGCCCTCGCCCTGGGAGCTTCCCGGCGGGGTCTGTGAAATGTGCGCGTGCATCCTGAGCTGTAAGCCTCTCGGTCCAGCCCTCACTGACCACCACTGGCCATCACAGACCCCGCTGGCACAGTCTTTGTCTTGGCCTTTGTGGGACAAGACGGATGGCCATCTTGCAGGGCCTCGCTCACTCACTAGCTGGCTGTGTACAGGCCAAAGATGTGGCTTGAACCCCAGGTGGACCTTAGGGACACAGGCCTGGACACTGTCCTGCACTATGTGTCAGGCCAGGGCAGGCCTAGGAAGCTCTGTGAGGATGGGCTTGAGAGGGGCCTCTAAGATTGAAGAGTAGCCACAACAGGAAGGGTGTGCTCACAGAGGGACTGGCGCGGGCAAAGGCATGGAGGGCCTGGCCCATGGGGGAGGGTACGCCAGGACTGGGCCTTGACCTAAGGCTGAGATCACAGGAGCCCAGGGAGGTGCGGCGGGCAATGGTGGTGAGAGGGCCCTTGGGCTGCAGAGCAAGGAGCCCTGAATCAGCTGGCCTGGGAGCTGGAGGTGTGGGGTCCAGGCAGGGCTTGGAGAGGGGACCCCTAACCTGTTCCTGCCTAGAAGGAAGAATCTGAGGTCACAGAGGGCCCAGCTCATCAGTGGGGAGGGGGCCCAGGGGCAGGTGTGTTGTCTGTGAAATGAAGGACAATGCTGGGGTCAAGGTGGTGCCCAGGTCTGCAGGGAGCACGTGCATTTCCCCTGTCCCCACAGGGCCATTCAGGGGTACTGAGCTGGGACTATCCACTTCCCCACACTCCTTGGAGGCAGAGGCCCCAGGGTCAGTGTGTGTGGAGGGTCAGCTCAGAGTCAGGTGTGGGGACTGGGGGCTCCCAGGCAGCCAAGGAAGGTCAGCCAGCGAGGGCAGCCCTGTGCCTTCCATGCTCAGTACCTTGGCACAAACCAGTCTAGACCACGGAGAGCCGGCAAGAGGAGCGGTTGTCGAGGAACCATAGGGTTCGGCTGCCCCACCGACCAGCAGGCAGGAAGTTCTTCCTTACGTCTAACCACACAGTGATTCCAGCCGCTTTCCCCAACAGGAGGCCCTGTGCCTCTGCAGCCCCTGCTTCAGGGACCCCTGCCAGCCCCTGAGCGAGACACTGGCCCAGGAGGCCTCAAGCCTTGCAGGCAGTGGGCTGCCCACTCCCCAAATCTCCTGCGGGGGCCTTTTCCCACAGACCAGGGGAGTGTCCTTCTCCTGGCTGGGGGCCACCTAGGACCCCGGGTCACTTTCTTCTGGGCCGTGCATTTGCACCCCAAAGACCTCAGTGAGACAGAGAGGGGATCCAAGGGGCTTGCCTCAGCTCTGCTTCCAGTGCAGTCACAAAAAATGCTCTGGGGCCCAGCAGAGAGCCCTCTTCTGGGATCCAGTTTCTTGCGGAAAGTGGGGAGCACACCCCCTCCCCGTGCCCTGCTTGGACTGAGTTTAGAGTGTTGCACACGCACGGTGTTATGACGATGGTTACCTCTGACCTCCACTAGGAGCTCTGGAGATGCCAGGCCACTGCTGGGGAGGGCAAGCCGGGCAGTTCATTTGTATAAAGGGGGCCACTGTCCTTGATGTGGTGATAAGGCCGGATGGACAACCACAGCCGGCTGCAGCCCACAATGGGCCGGATGCCCTGCACCTGCTCACAAAGGCAGGGGTGGCTCCTGCCTCACGTCTGACCGGCAGCCTCAAGATAGCATCAGCCCTGCAGGAGGGCCATCTGTCTTGTCCCACAAAGGCCAGGACAAAGGCCATGTCAGTGGCAGCCTCCTCGACCCGGTCAGTGGTGGTCAGTGATGGCCACTGGGGGCTCCTCGAGGGCCTTCCTGGGCCAGGTGGCCGGGACCTGAGGCTCCTCATCTGGGGCCTCTCTGGGATGCATGGAGAATAGTCTCCATTGTTCATAGGGCCAGCCAGGTGGGGGCCACACGGATGGTGGCAGAGGGACCCTGTCCCTGGCACCCCAGGCCAGCCCCAGTAGTGAGGAAGGCGTCAGTCACCCCTTAAGTTGGGCACCTGTGCTGACCTGGTTGCTCAGCTCCAGAATCCGGGCAGGGCAGTGGGAGGCCAGAGACTGGAGGACTCTGAGAAGCCCCTAGCTGGTCTGGGCAGTCAGAGAGGACTTCCTGAGGAAAGTGGTGGCCCGGTGGGGGACTCGCCAGAGGCACAGGAGATGAGTAAGGAGCAGTGGCATGAAGGGCACCGTGTGCCAGGCAGAAGGAACAGTGTGCAGAGGCCTGGCCGAGATGCAGGCCCCGTGTGGCACAGCCTGGGAGCCTGGGGAAGGCAGCAGCTGCGGGTAGGGACAGGAACGGCTCTCGGCTGGCAGCCTGCTCCTGGCAGAAGGGGTCTGGGGCGGGGGCCGCTGCTGTGGGATGGGGAGGGATGGCAGGAGGAGGGTTTGGGGGTGTTGGTGGAGCTTGTGGTGGGGGCAGGCTCACTCCAGGACACAATGATTCCAGAGACCCTGCAACCCCTGAGGTCCACTCATCCTGTGGGGCCCTCCATGAACCCCCACCACGCATGGCTCCCTCACGTAGAGACCATCTTCTCACTCCAATGGTCCAGGAAGTCCTAGATGGAGCAACAGACCCGAACCAACCCTGGTCACCTGCCCCAACACTCCCCTAGAACTGAACACTGCCAACACCACAGTCCCTGCATCAGGAAATCCAACCCTTGAAATGCTCTCCGTGTCCTCATGGCTGGCACTGTCCACAAGAACCAGCCCCTGAACATGCTCAGATGACAAGGCACACCTCTGGGACTGTCCTCACTGCCTACAGCATCCTCACCACCCCCAAAGCATCCTCACCGCCCCCACGGGGTCCTCACCATCTCCACAGCGCCCTCACCGCCCCCACAGCGCCCTCACCGCCCCCACAGCGTCCTCACTGTTCACAGCGTCCTCACCGTCCCCACAGCGTCCTCACTGTTCACAGCGTCCTCACCGTCCCCACAGCGTCCTCACTGTTCA